CTTTATAACGATACCTTTTTTGTATATAAATTGATGTTCCTCCTGTATGTCTACTTGAAGAAAAACCAACAACTGAGTTGTAGCCATCAATATCTATTTCATTTGATGCAAAATCTGAGGTAACATGGGTCTCCGATAAACACATAATAATTGGCTTTTTCTGACTTGCAATCCATGATAACTGTGTTTTATGTGTGCTAAATCCTTGAATGTTTAGGTACAGAATGGTTGGACTTGATTGCTATATTTTACAATTACCATGTGATAATTCAGGATACCTTATTTTTTCTTGTAATCGCTCTACTACTTTCTTATATGCTTTTATAAGGGGATTATGATGTTATTTTACCCCTTCAATTATCGTCGAGTTCGTTAATTATTTTCTTAGGGAAAGAATATATTTTCAATGCTAACGGTATTTATTTAACACTGTTCTTACATGAACAAACTTAGATAAAAAGACTTATTGTAAAAGAAACAAAAACATGAAGCGTTATAACCTCTTCAGTCAAACAAACTAATAATCCGTATGGCCCTTTTCTAGTAGGACGCATAGCACATCACAAATAATACAGGACGCAGAGCGACCTACAGGGTAGGCAACATACACAACACATGTTGCACACACTTAGGAGATTTGTTACAACCTCCCCCTTTGCTTCACGCAGAGTCCCTCAAGTAGAAGCAAGAAGAGGTGTGAGCAGAAGGCAACACTGGCAGGTAGACCTCTGGACGGGATGTCTCCGGAGGCGATGACGAAAGAGTTCACTAGGAGAGTCATCGTTCGGGTCAGGTGTTATTGTGGGAAGGAGCGCCTCGGCATCTATATGAGGCGAAGCAACGTCATTCTCTTCTGTGTATACATGGTTTTCATCAGGCACAGCTAATGCTGTTTTGGGGGGACGTCCTGTTCTGCGAATGGGAACCAAAGGGTTAGGGGACGGACCATCATCGGTATCGGTATCAGCACGATAGGGCACAAGCGCTGATACATGGTATTTACCGAGAGGTTCGGTTAGATTCTGTGGCGACGATATCTCGTAGCTGGTTGGGCTAACCACCTTGGTTATTATGTATGGACCATCGCGACGCGGGGCGAACTTTGCCGTGAAAGAGTCCTTCGCTTTACTAAGAGCATGCACGTCAACGAGCACTTTGTCCGACACATTAAACGTCATATTGGCGCGACGATACTTATCGGCATATGACTTTGCGCGATCTTGACTCGCTTCGTAATTTTCGCGAGCTTGATATAGAACACTACTGAGAGTCTTTAGGTATGGGGTTATCTCTGGTACGAAGTTGTCATTTTGTACAATAGTCCGAAAGTCTCGTTTTACATCATCGGGAGTACGCAATTCGCGACCGAAGGTTAGAAACGCGGCACTATAACCTGTTGACTGCGATTTAACGGAGTTCATAGCGAATCTTACAGCTGGTATTTGTTCTTTCCATGATGTATGGTCAGCTCCTGTCAAAATTGCCAGTTGCGGCTTTAGATCACGATTTTTCCGTTCTACAGGATTTGCGGCTGGCCAATAAACCGGAATTAGGGTTTGTTTAAAACCTAAACAGTACGCTACTTGTTGCATGACCGCACTAACAAACTGTGTAGCGTTATCACTAATAACGCGTCTGGGTAAACCATATCTTAAGATTACTTCGTCAACTAAACAGCGGGCACAATTCTCGGCAGTAGCTGCTTTAAGAGGAAATATTTCCACCCATTTACTCGCGGTATCTTCAATCACATAGATCCACTTGTATCCGTCAGATGTTTCTGGTAGTGGACCGAATAGATCGATAGACATGGTTTCAAAGCGTTGAGATTGAACAGGCGTTTGAAACTGTCCTGCTGGTTTTAGATTAGATGCTTTATACCTTTGGCAATCCAGGCACTTCGCTACATAATCTATTATTGTTTTACGCATACCAGTCCAATAATATCTGCTAGCGATTCGTTGATAACTACGTTCGGCACCATAATGTCCAGCTAAGGGTGCGTCATGGTAATCACTAAGTATATTTTGTATGCGGGACTTTGGAGCGACCAGCTGTGCTTCTTCGCTGTCCAAATCAGGGGTGTATCTGTAAAGAACACCTTGCATCGTAAAATATCCTCGTTCAGACCATCTTTTATAATCAACGGAATTGTTATCTGGGTTTTCGAAAGATTCGACGATCTTTCTCAAATCGGGATCATTCAGTTGTTCTGTTCTCAAATCACTGGCAGTTTGTTGAGGTAAGTCAACTTGGACAAGATTAACATCAATATTTTCAATTGGTGGACGGGATAGCATATCAGCTACGACATTTAAACGTCCAGGAGTATAATCTATTTTCAAGTCATAGGCCATCAATGACAGGGCCCATCTCGAGAGTCGGCCAGACGGAGATTTGAGGGACATTAACCATTTTAGAGGCTGGTGATCACTTTGTATTTTGATTTGAGAATTTTCTATATATCCTCTGAACTTATTTACTGCCCAAACGACAGCTAAGGCCTCAAGTTCAGTAGTACAGTAGTTCTGTTCAGACTTTGTTAGGAGACGACTGGCGTATTCCACTGGTCTCTCATCGGATCCCTCCCCCTGGAGTAAACAAGCTCCCAATGCGTAAGAACTAGCATCGGTTCTAAGAGTATAGGGTAGGTTAGGATCAGCCTGTCTTAGTAAAGGGCTAGAGCACAGAAGAATTTTAAGTCGGTCAAAAGCTTGAGTTTGGTTTGTGGTCCAAGTCCAACGAGCATTCTTCTTAAGAAGATTGGATAGAGGTTTGCTGATGTCAGCGAAATTTTCAATAAAACGTCTAAACCAAGAACATGCTTGTAGGAATGAAGTTAGCTCTTTGACATTTTTCGGAATAGGTCGGTTGACAATACTGGCAACCTTATTTGGGTCAGGGTTTATACCAGACGAAGTGATTACATGACCTAGGTAAAGGACAGAAATACAACAGAAATTACATTTTAAACGATTTAAATGTAATTTAAATATTGTTAGCCGAGATAATACTTGCTCGAGGTCAGCGAGATGTTCACTAAATGTAGCGGATAGAATAATTAAGTCGTCTAGGTAAGCAAGTATGCGGACATTGGGTAAACCAGAGCGAAATTTGTCAATAAGTCGCTGAAAAGTGGAAGGTGCATTGCGCAGTCCAAACGGCATGCGCGTATAGCGAAATGTACCAAAGGGGCAAATGAAAGCCGTCTTGTCTCTGTCTTCAAATTTAACAGAAACTTGGTGATAACCAGACTTCAAATCTAGTGTTGACATGTAACGTGTTTCTTTCGTCGCATGTAACAGATCATCTATTCTCGGTAGCGGATAGACATACGGTCTAGTGATCGCATTTAACTTACGATAATCTACTGTAAGACGAGTTCCGCCATCCTTCTTCGGAACCAGTACTACAGGCGAAGCATATGGGGATTCACACTCCTCTATGGTTCCATCAGTAAGAAGTGTATCAAGCTCTTGTTTGAGCTGTGCTTTTTTAATCTCAGACATTCGGTATGGGGGAACAGCGATTGGATTTTCATCAGTTAAAGTTATATAATGTTCGGCAAAAGGCGTAGGCTCTTTGCTTGGACAAAAAACATTATCATGTTTAGACAAAAGGTCATTAATTTCAGACTTTTCTGTTGGATCAAGACAAATGGCTTCATCTTCTCTCAATTCAACTCGAGCCAAATGAACAGAATTTGACCTGAGATCAGATATAAATGATTCAGATGAAAACGGATAGCGTACGGACAATTCATCACCATAATACCAGCAATCACGTGGTACATCAAGAATGATATTAGCTGATCTAAGAAAATCAGAACCTAGAAGTGTTCTACTTTGTACATGATCAGGTACAGAGCATAAAGTTAATGAATGTTTTCTACCTTGAAGTACGACATTAACCTGAAAGAAAAGAGCATTAACTAAACTAGTTTTGCCATCAGCCAAAGTCATAAGCATAGATTTGGTACTATAGGGAATATTATCTTTGAGTAAAATTTCTCGAAGTGTAGCACCGGCGATGCTACGTTCGGCACCTGAATCAAGAAAACAACAACCATGATGATCTTCGATAGTAATTGGAGTCAACGGGCTTGAATGTGACTGAATCTGAGACGAAGAATCTGGCGATTGCAGAGAAGCGCAGAGAAATTCAGCCGATGTTGAAACATAACCTATGTCAGTACGTTTACTACTACACTTGGGACAATTTGATTTAATAAAACCTGGGCTTTTACAACCATAGCAGAAAATCTGGGAATTTTCATTGATATTGGCAACGTTGGGATTTGAAAAAGGTTGCTTTGTACTGTTGTTACTTAAAGAAGTAGAAGAAGGTTCTTGTTTACTGCGGGATGCTAGTTTACGACAGTCGTCCCTTTGGTGTCCAAAATTCTTACAATAAGAACACTGTTTTGATTTTCGGGTACTACTTGAATTATTTTCTGTTTTATGTACGGAAATATTCGGAACGCTTTTAATAATATGTAGCGATTGTTCTACAGCGCGAGCTGCTTCAACAAGTTCTCTAAAATTGGATATAGATTCTCTCCTTACCTTATCTCTAATAGATGCATTTAATAATCCAAATACCATATCAAGTTGAGCATGTTCCGAAATGGTGGATGCGCCTTGAAGACGTGACAACAACGAGCGCGCTTTGCTAACAAAAACGTCGGTTTTTTCATTGTGACCTTGTTCGACCGCGAAAAGTTCACGATAAACTAAATACGCCGGCTTTGGAGAACCGTATGCATGCTGGAGACTTTCTATAGCCTCATCAAACGTTTGAATGGATGATTTGACACCTTGATACCACGTTGCAGCTGAATCAATTAAAAGCATAGACAATCCTTTTAACGCGTGATGATCAGAAATATTAAGACAGTCTTTATACACCGTAATGGCATCAATAAATGCCTCGACATCTTCATTTGGTTTTCCCGAAAACCGATGTTTACATGCTGAGAAGTTAGAATTGAAAGTACTTACAGTTTGGGCTTGATTGTTAATACCTTGTAAACTTGTAATTAAGCTCTGGAGCATGTCTTGCGTCATCACTACTTGTTGAACTGTTTCACCTTTCTGAGCCATGTTTGTAACTTTATTTCCTGATCGGAGAAGCATAAACAGTTTATCGAAAGAGTAAATCGCGTAGAGAACTGAGACAACAGTATCTAATACCGATTTAAAGTCTTTACTAACACTGCGGAACTGAAAACAAACCAGTGTCCACTACTGAAGTCTTTTTACTACGGTTGAGGAACTGAAAACCAACCAGTGTCCACAACAGATTTTGTTCACTTCCAAACGAAACACACAATTAAGTAACACTGAACTTAACTTTCACAAAAGAAAATATTGCCACTAGTAGGGCGCCAATTTATAAGGGGATTATGATGTTATTTTACCCCTTCAATTATCGTCGAGTTCGTTAATTATTTTCTTAGGGAAAGAATATATTTTCAATGCTAACGGTATTTATTTAACACTGTTCTTACATGAACAAACTTAGATAAAAAGACTTATTGTAAAAGAAACAAAAACATAAAGCGTTATAACCTCTTCAGTCAAACAAACTAATAATCCGTATGGCCCTTTTCTAGTAGGACGCATAGCACATCACAAATAATACAGGACGCAGAGCGACCTACAGGGTAGGCAACATACACAACACATGTTGCACACACTTAGGAGATTTGTTACACTTTACAATTCCTATCATATGCTTTATGTTTCAAATCAATATTGGAAATTTTTAAAACTTCTGCATATTTGCAGTTTACACAACAAACTATACGTGATTTACAGTCTTTTACGTGATGCTCACCAGCGCATTGCTGACACGTGGGCGTCTCTTTTTTGCACTCTTTTGCAAGGTGACCAAACCTCCAACAATTGTAACACTGTTTAACATTTACGCTTTCTCTAAAAAAATAGCTCTTCCAACCAATATGCAACTTTTCATTTTTATTAATGCGTTCGTAGGTATGCACATCCATCTGGAATATAATATTTACCATCCCTTTTCTGTTTTTTATAGTATGGATTACCTTTAGTTCTCTTACACTTGGTTCTGTTGTTATACCATTTTGTACTACAATTTTTTCAATTAGAAGATCTTCATCTTCTATATCCTTTTTATCTAAGTTAAACACTATTATTCTGGGATTCATCTTTTCAGGTACTTTTACATCATAGCACTGGCCCAATGACATTTTTATATTATTACAGACATCCTGTACATTTTCTTTTCCATTACCCGTACATCTTATAGCAACTCCTCCATCTATAATATACTTAACTTCTGAAACACCAACTCCCAAGTTGCATGGGTTGATTTTATCTTCAATATTCCTTCTGGTTATTTCACTTGTTTGATTTGAGTCGTTTGGTTTTACTATGATGACTTTTTCTTTCTGTTTTTTCACTGCTTTGCTGTAACTAAAATCGTTATTTGATTTCCACCTTTGGTCACACTGCTCTTTAGTACTACTTTCATTTTTTAAGACTTCATTTTCTTGTTTCAGTAAGTCTATGATTGTGTCCTTGTCTTCTAATGATGCCTCCTTAGTTTTTAATAACTGTTGATAAAGTTTTATGGATTCTCCATTCTGACATTTGAGACAGTAGAATTTCATGACACGGCTTGATAGTTGTAAGACTTTCACTTCAGATGCTGTTAATTCGCCACATTCTTTACAAATTGCATCATTACACCCATCACAGTCAAAAACATCCTTGTTTTTAACTTTAATTTGCTTACACACATTACATTTCATGTTTGAGGTTAGGTTCCGTAAAAATCAAAAAAATTTCGAAAATATTCCCGAAATATTCACAAATCCACAAAGCTAAATGTATATTTAAACGACTTGAATACTTTAATTTTAAAAATATCATCAAATCTTAACGATGATCGTGGATTTATTTTCACACTCCCATAACATCGTGAGAGAAAAATGACTGATTTGTCATTGTTTGATCGTCGTTCCAGATTACGGAGATGGTCTTCTTTTGTTCCAGTTCAGAAATGGTTCACTTAGTTTCTGCCCCGGAGATGTTTACAGGATTTTCAGAAGTTTAAGTGCAAAAATATGTGAATTTAAAGGTAACATTTAATGTTTTAATTTTCAAAGTAAAGACAGACATTTTTTTTGCTACAGTACTAATTGCTTTCATTGTTTAAAAAGATAATTTTTTTATCTGTAATAATTTTTATATTTGCCACAGTTTCTACGTCAGTAACATTAGTAAGTTTTTGTAGCATCTCCTGAATTTGTAAATTAGTAGAACGCATGTAAGTTTTTTGTATTTTGCGACTATCGTGGTAATATTTTTATATTGTTTTTTTTTGAGCATTCTTGTGTTTTCTATGTTTTGTAACTGTTTGTGGTAAGAGAATAAATGTTAAATTTTGTTTTTTTTTTAACATTTTGTTTATTCCTTTTAAACTAACTCCTCAATTCAATTATTCCTTTTAAACTAATCCTTTTTGAGTTTCCATTTGAAAAATATATGCTTTTTTAATGTTTCATAATTATTTCCCTAATTACAACTGGTGGTTGTAATAGGTATAATTAGGCACCTCAAGTGGCGCAGTATATTAAATTACTAGAGGTGTTTCCAATTTCTTTTTGTTTTGTTTGTCCCAAGAGATTTGTATAAGTACCCCTTTATTTCACTTTTTTGTAGTTGCCCCAATCCAACCCCCTTATCTTTTACTTATCCACGACTCTCCTAACAAACCCTGAGTTCCGTTCGCACAAGTAGCGATTATTTTGCTTGCCTTATCTCCACCCCCTTAGTTTCAGTCCCCAATTTTCTACCCCTTGTATTAATACCCCATGTGATAGGCAAAATATCATCGTTACACTGTATATATAGAGTGGCAGCTGGTATGACCAAATCGTTATTGAGACAGTTAAAGCAGGAGGAAGTAAATTATTGGAAGCATTGGCACAATCATATATCTCTTCTTCTTCTTCTTCTTTGTATGAAGACATGACTTTGTCCATTTTGTAATGTGCCTCTAGTAAGTTGTCTTTCCATCGTTTTTGTGGTCTCTCTGCTGATTGTCTTCCTATTGGGGAACAGTCTCTTGATGTCTTTACTACTCTATTTGTTGTCATTCAGCTTATATGATCGTTTTATTCTACTCTTCTATTTTTGATTCAGTCCTCGATGTTATCCACCTCATCTTAGTCATCTATCTGGATTTCTAGCTCTGTCCTATAGTATTTTACCATCAATTTTTCTAAGTATTTGCATCTCTGCTGTTTTTAACATCCTTTCTGTCCCCTATGTGCTAGGTCATGTTTCTGTCGCGTTTGTCATTATTAGGCCTTTTAGCATCGATGTCAAGTAGATGTTATCGATACTGATTTCTCCAGGGCATTTAATAGGGTAAACCACGTTATTAAATAAATTAAATAAATTATAAATTAAAACAGATATCTAAATTATAAATTAAATCACAATATTATTAAAAACAGAATCATTAAATTCATATATCAACCCCCTCTGTGGCTCAGTGGTAAGAGCGCCTACCTTTAAACCTAAAGGTCGTGAGTTCGAATCTCATCTGGGTGGAGAAATTTTCGTTTATTAAAAATTAATTAATGAAAATAATTTCTATCCTTGTGCGAGCGGTACTCACCGGAGGGACCGTAGACGTTCGGATACAATTAGCGTCTCTTAGCAAAGACAATGACGTCGACTTTGCTAAGTATCAAGACAATTACTCTACACACACACACACACACACACACACACACACACATACACGTTCGTGTATTTACTGTGGCATCTGTGAAATATCATGACAAATGGACACATGAACATAGGGTAATGCAAGATGATAAGAAAAATTCCCTGATGCCTACGCGCTAAGTTTGAAATTGATACACCCCGTGGTTCCAGAGTTATTAATTTGTGTACTAACCGGACTTGTGACATCGATGTCACTAGTACAATTATTTGCATGTGTGAAATAGTGGTCACAGTATAAGAAGTTTGCAGGTGTGCAAAGTGGTCACACTATATGTAGTTTGCAGGTGTGTTAAGCATGATGTCACAACACTGGTAATTATCATGTAGTTATTTATGCCATGCAGTCAGGTGTCCTAGAAAGCGGACAAATTTAGCTAAACTGTACTAGATAATAATAATACTTAGAGGTTTGTTCACTAACGTTTCAATCGTCAGAATTCTGATTGTATGGATTCAAGTATATTGTTTCGAAATCTAGTGTATCTATTTTTTGTTTTCATATTTGATAAATTTTAATTAGTAGTTTTATGGGAATAGGCCACAATATATATTTTTTATAACGATTTCCGAAGTGGAAGTCGAAACGTCAAAAATAAACTTATTTTTAACTTATATTGTGGCTTATTCCCATAAAAATAGTAATTGAATTAAGATGCCATAAGAAAATAGGTTCAGAATAATATTGATAAATTTTCATGTAGTTGATTTAACGGTTTCAGTAGCTTATCTAGATCATCCGTATAAGTTTTTATTAAGCTTACTGGGTCAGGGGTACTATTACTATCTTAATATATTGTCTGGGTTTGGATTTGTAATGAAATTGGGATGTCTACGTAGATTGTATACATGGCGCCGCCCAGATGGACGAACAAGAAATCAAATAGTTTACATTATCCTAATAAAATTCAGATGGAAAGCCTAGGCCACCAAAAGATAAGAGGATACATATGCATCAACTCCTAGTATTATTATCAGACTTCATTTTAAAGTACTTAAAAAATATCCCGAATAAGTATCACGTCCCTTAACCCCACAAAAATCAACGAATTCCAGCAAAACCTAGAATAACACCTTTCTTTAGATCAACTAGATAGTGATAATGAAGAATTCCTACATCATCAAATACTACAAGAACAAGCAGAATTTGTAAATGGAAAAGGTATACTTGAGCAAATCCTGCACCTAAGACAACTCATTGAAAAGTGGACACAGTTTCAAGTATCTATGATACCATGCTGATAAAAGAGATGTGTACACCTATACTCCTGACGACACTTCTATACCAGTCCAATATGGTAACAGTATGACTAGATCAGAAATTC